AAAGCCGTTCTTTTGGTATTGCAATTATAATTTTTTGCACCTGATCAAACATTTTATAAAACCATCTGTTACTTGTTTGGTACAAACGCTTTGTTTTATTATATTGTTATAACAGTGGTAATTTTCTAAATTAATCGCGCGATAAGTCGACAAACTTTACTTTAAAAATAAGAGAAAACAAACCAATCAAGGCAATATAAATAGTGATATTTTTATGGTTTCTACAAATAAATTTTAAAATACATATAATAACAGACTTAAAGGCCTAATAACCATAAATTAGGCACTGGGTTAAGTATTAAACTTTAAGTTATACCGTAAAGTTTAAGAGATGGATGCAATGCCACAACCTCAAGTTTTGTACTTCGTATCTAATAGGTTATTACACTTGTTTACAAATTTATTGGAACTGCAATTGTTTTATATTTGCACCTGCAACAACATGTCTATGCATAGTCAGTTTAATGAACTCTCAGTTTATTATAGTACTGTTTGAAATAATAAAATAGATTCATATTGCTACGTTTATCATACTAATATTATAAATGCGAAAGTTTAGATGGATGGATGGTTGGCTGGATGTTTGTAAGAGTTTGTAGCCTAAACGGCTGAACGGATTTCGATGAAATTTGGTATAGATGTATAGGATAGTTTGGAAGAACACATAGGCTACTCACTTTTGTTTTTTTTTATTCCACGCGGACTGAGTCGCGGACGAAAGCTAGTATGTAAATAAATGTTTTATTTTAATTGTTAAAAGTAAAATAGCCACAATTTTGTATCGACTAGTGTTAGTCGGTATTATTGTACGTAATATTTGGTAAATTTTCCGAAGGTCGTGTTATGAAAACCTCACGTGAGCCTTGCAACACTGGGTCAATGGACAGATGTTTCTAAGACCGTTCACTTCAATTAACTGCACGATAGATCATAATCTAAATCTATACTAGTATTATAAAGAGGAAAGATTTGTATTTTGGTATGTATTGAATAACTCAAAAAGTACTAGGCCGACTACACGCGGGTGAAGACGCGAGCAACACTATTAAAGAATATAAAAATATCGCTTTAATCGCATTCTTAATTACATTGCTTTTTAATATTCGTATAGGAATTAGTTAAGTATTTTTCCATAATATGTCGAGGTTTTTATATTCCCGGCCTATACTTTCGATTTCTTCCAATAAAGCGGTAACAGTATCATTCTCGTAAAGTTATTATTATAATCAACGACTGTAATTATAGACTTATTAATTATATGTAATAATTTATATTCGATATCATAACATTACGAGCTTATCATTATTTCTTTGACAATGTTGCAAATGGGTTCCGGTAAATACGTTTATAAGTTTTAAAATTACTACCGCGCTGTTGAATTGGCGCAACACTAGATAATCGGCTTAAACGTCACATCCCTAGCTGTCAGCTGTCAATGTCATTAAGAGGATTGGAATATTGGCGCGTATTTCTGGCTAGTTCACTAGTGGAGCGTTTGAGTTAATATCGCTATTCACAATTATATTAATTCTTTAAAAGTACATACATTTAATATATATTTCTTTACAATAGCTATGACTGCATTACTAAGTATGATGATTCCCACTTAGAGCCTCCGCACATCCAGTTGGGCTGTCTAGGTAAGATTATGTAAAACAAAATCGTAGTAGCTAATGTTTAGAATGCGGCGGCTTAGATTTATATGGCAGAATTTTCTACCAAATTGCATTAAGAGCATATTTATTCCTACAAAAATGTCTTAGAAATGCGAAGGAAATAAGTTTCCTTGACAAAACGTATGTTTATGTTTTTGATGTTTTACGTGTTAATACTGAAAACATTATTAAATAATCTTATCCAATGACCATTTGACACAAATACAAAGTAATTTTAAGTTTATTTAGTCTTATCAGAGCAATCAATTAAATTATACGTGTAGATAGTGCCTTGCTTTACAATTACACAATCAACGTTTCTCAATAGCAATAAATTGATTGGTGATAATTTATACTAATACCTACTAATTTAAATTTCCTATAATTTTTTAAATATGTTTTAAATTTTAAAAATGTACTACAAAATTTTGACGCCAAGTGTATCTTCTACAGTTCTACTTTATACTTGACTAAAAATCTTCATATAGTCAATTTTAACCGCATTGTTTTCCTTATAAGTAAAGCAGATCTCGGTTCAGACAATTGCGCTCTTAGAACCGGAATTGTAACTTGTTCTTGCGGAGGTTGCAATGCAACTACACGACAGCTCTGTGCTGTAATACTCTGTGCTGAGATTATGTGTTAGGATGCCATTGATCTCCGTAATTTTTCCGGATAAGTCTCTGCCTAGAAATTACAGCTTTTTTATTGATTTAACTGACACTTAACTCTATCATCATCTCCCCTGCCTTATCCTACTCCAGTAGGGTCGGCGCACCGAGTTTTCGTCCTCCAAAGCACTCTATCATCCGTCATCTCAGTCATCACTCCCTTCTTGATCATGTCATCTTTCACGCAATCCATCCATCTTTTTCTAGGTCTACCTCTACCGATGTATCCCTCCACTTTCATAACTAACATCCTTCTTGTTACATGCGATTCATCCCTTCTCAAAACATGCCCATACCACTCTAACCTTTTACTCCTTATTTTTTTCAACCACTGGGGCTACTCTCAAACTTCCTCTAATGTACTCATTTCGTATCTTATCCTATGACACTTAAATCTATGTCTTTTCTATTATTATCAGCCTCAAAATGTCAAAAATCAAACAAGCACAAGTACCACATCTTGAAACCTGTCTAGTGGATCGTAGAGGTCAACAAAGGTTGCAGTTCAAACTGCACGACTGCTCTGTGTTGTTATACTCTGTGTACAGAGTGTGTGTGTACAGAGTAGCTATATGCAGAGGTAGACAACAACGCAAAACAAACCAACCAACACAGATAATGGCCGACATCCGTAAGACAAATCTTCATAAGATCGTCCCCGATCATTACTTTATTGTTTTAAATTAAATGAAATGGGCTGCGACGATTTTACCGTGCACAAGTGTCGTTGCGAGTTCATATTGTCGAAGTATTTGTATGGAATCATAGTGTCATCTCATTCTCCAAGTACTTTAGCCGATGCCGATTTATTTTCTTTTCTCAATAAAATATGTCTAGTGTAGACTAGTGAAGTTTATATAGTTTTTGTTTATATCCGTCACGTCATTCCAATTAATATGTCAATTGAGCGATATCTTATCAATGAATTACATTTACTGCGGAATCATTAATATGAAGAGGAAAGATTTGTATTTCTATATTTATGTAACGAATAAACTCAAATACTACTAGACTACTAGATTTCAAAAATTCGTTCACCAAAAAATAGCTACATTATCACCAAGTGACATAGGCATCTATACTAATATTATAAAGAGGAAAAATTTGTTTGTTTCATTTCAATAAATAGGCTCCAACACTAGTAGGCCGATTTAAAAAATTATTTCACCGTTAGAAAGGTAATTTATCTGTGACTAACAGGCTATATTTTTTCGTTTCTTTATTAATTTTAAATTTCACTCGGACGGAGTCGCGGGCAAAAGCTAGTATTGAAATAAAATGTAAAAAAAATATGTAATTATGTCCGCCTTTGTAAATTATCGACCGCTGTTTAGTATGGATATGACACTATTTTGGTCAACTGTTTCAGCTATGGAAACCAACTGTGGTTTACAACACGTAAATACTACTGAGTATTTACGTGTATCGCAGAACGGAGTATAAACAATATAGTGAATCATTTAACAAAAATGGCGCATAGTATCCTGTTTGTATTAACATATTTGTATTTTAAGACAGAAATAACGCTAATTTTACGACAACCATTTCACCTAGTGATCCCCAAATACTATCACGGGTCCTACGTTTGATGCAATGAATGGTATGCATCTTTTCAAACACTACATACGAATTTTAATAAATATGTTAGTAAGAACATGATTCAGCGGAATATCTTGACACGTAAATTTGATAAGATTGGGATAATAGATATTGAATAAGATTGGTATTGATTGATTGGGTATGTCCATGTTAAACTTTCGAATATAATTTCCAGACATTAAATTAAAAAAATACACATATTTCAAACACAACTCGGAAAAATACATCAACTTTTGTTAGAGTCGTTGTTACGTGAATTATACCTTTGGTAGAGGTCATGTAAGCTCCGACATTCACTTGTTAATATTTTACGTACCAATATTTAGTTGTACTCAGCCCGACCTTCATAATATTAAAACTCTTTTTCCACTAAGCGACTAACGATCATAAACTCAAACGAATCTTAAACCAATGGGTGTAAACAGATGGATAAAATTAGGCATATTAGCTATTGATAAAAAATGGCATTGAATTCCTATGTACCTGAATTGTTATTTAAATTAGTGATGCGTACAATTCAAGTCGTATATCGATAAGAATAATTAATAAACATGAAATGAAAAATACGACAAAAGTTAAATAGCGGCCATTGTTTTAAATCTATTTTAGTTATTTATAATTCATGTGAACATTGAGTACAAATTAAATAGTATAGCAACAATTATAATACGAGTATATCTACCTATTTTAAGTAAAAATAATCTTTTGCAACAAATATTTATATAAACATAACTTTATTACTATAAAAGTATACTATTCAATTAGTAAGGAATAATAAAGAAAATGTAGTTATAATAAAAATCTTCACACAATGTTGTTGAACATTATTCCGTCTAGAAGTATTATCCAATCTCTATATTTACAATAATTGCACACGAACGGGTTTATCCGTAGTAAACAGAAAAGGTGACAATCCCGTCTCAATCGGTACTTAACAGAAATAACGACCTTAACCACAGACAATAGCTCATAAATTCCCTCCAAATGATTTATTACAAATTACAATCTGTTTTAATAATTGTTTACATAAATAAATCTTAAAAAATACTTACAAACTATTCAATAATAAACTTACCTTTTTTTATAACTTGTAAATACAAACAAATGAACAATCCCGTTTATAACAACGTTTTTTTTTAAATATTGATATACACGCGCGTAAATCGAAACGTTTCTATGCGAACTGAAATGCGTGTTCACTTGGTCGCAGCGCAAGCGACAATGTCTAGAGTAGAGCTCTGTGGTCTAGAGCGGTAACAAACGTACCAAATACTGACTTGTGTGTTACGTCACTATCCTTTTATACACAGATACATGCTATTATCTCACCCAAACATTTTATCGGCACCTGTATTAGGTGAGTGGTACAACAATAAAACATCGATATGATTTTTATCTAAATCAAAGCATCGATACGCATTTTTTTAAAATGGAATGACGAATGATAGATTGATCTAAAGACCAATACCAGCTGGACCGATCTTACATAATGCCACGTAAGGTTAAGGAAATAATGACGTTCATTTAAAAATAAAGTCTTAATCGAAACATCTAATAGGTGCTGTACCCCAAAATGTATATTTTTAATGCTTACATTAAAACGCAACTAGGAAGATTAGTTCTTTTGATAACTTTTTTGTAATCCTAGGTTTTTGTTTATTATGTACATTCTACAGTCAATCAGAGTATTGATATTGTAAACTAGCACGTACATAGGTATTCATAAGTAGCTTTCGACAGGGTTTTCAGCGTGGAATTAAAAAAAAAATGAAGTAAGTTGTAAGTAGCCTGAAGAAGGTAGCCTATGTGTTCTTCCTGACTACCCTCTACATCTATACCGAATTTCACCGATATCTGTTTAGCCATTTAGGCTACAAACATGCATCCATCCATCTAAACTTTCGCATTTTTAATATCAGTATGATAGTATGATTATCGATATATAAAGCACATCACTAGCTGCTCATTAAGCATGTGCCGCACGTCGTACTTATCACATCACAGACGTTGTGAGCCGAATCCCGCGTGCATGTCATCTCGGGGGCAAGAAGTGATGTAACATGGAATATACTGATTTAATACACAATGAAATTAAAAAATCGATGAGGCGTTCGAATGGTATACTATAGAAGGTATTGGGTCCTAAACAAACTAATGATGTCGGATTATTTAAGTCTTTTGCGTATTTACTAGCCCGCGACTCCGTCCACGTAGTATGAAATAAAACAAAACCAAGTAGCCTATGTGTTCTTACAGACTATCTTCTACATCTATGCCTAATTTCATTGATATCCGTTCAGCAGTTTAGGCTACAAACTCTAACAAACATCCATCCATCAATCCATCTAAACTTTCGCATTTATAGTCATTAATAAGATTTATTAACTTTATTATTTCCATGCAGAAAATAACATAAAGGCACAAAACAATATACATATAATGTGAAATAAGTATGGACCCCGTATAGAAGAAGAGCCTCCTCCAAATACAGATGTTTTTTTTATTATATTTCATTGTATAACTTTATTTATCGTTTATGATATTAAAAAAATATATCCAGAGCTATAAAATGTCACAACATTAGAACAATTATAACATCGTTAAAGTTTTATCTTTGTCTCAAATTGTTTAACGTCTTTATTGACCTCTAATCCGATAGTGTCCAGTGTGATGACTAACTAATTAGAAAAATATGTGAAATTTTGACTTTAGTGGGTTGGTAACATGTAATTTTGTGCTACAAAAACTATGTCGAATTGTGGGTTAGTAAAATCTCAGAAGCCTAAAGCCGCTGAAGGGTTTAACGAACTTTTTACCGCCAAGAAATTTTATGACAGTCAAAACTACTGAAGATATTATTTATTTAGAAGTTTATTCATTTGCTTTATTGATTAACTAGCTTTCGCCCGCGACTCTGTCGGCGTGGAATTAAAAAAATAAAAGTAACTGCCCTATGTGATCTTAAAGAAGATCCTCTACATCTATACCCAATTTCATAGAAATCCATTCAGCCGTTTTGACAGTGGTAGAGCCCGCTGTAACATCTTCGCATGAATGGGCCGGCTCGCCCAGTGAAATACCACAACCACACAAAAAACAGGCGTGAAGTGGAAACAATTCCGCGTTTCGTCTGATGAGTTTGGTGCCGGAAGCCTAATTTTGGTCCCTTTCCCTTTCAACCCTTTTCTTAAGAGGAAAGGATGTGAAGGAAAAGTGGATTTGACGGTGGAGAAGACCCATGGGAAGAGTAAGTGTCTTCTTTATGTGCGATTCCTCCTCCGTCATTTAAGGGTTGGCAGCGCATCTGCATTTGCGGATGTTTATGGACAGCGGTCGCTTTCCATTTCGGTGGATTTAGGTGGCCGCTTTCTCGCTTGCCACCTTATATTATATAAAACAAAGCTACAAATTCTAACAAACATCCGTCCATCCATTCATCTAAACTTTCGCATTTATAATATTAGCTAGTATGATTTACATAATTATCACGTGCGATGTAGTTTTATTGCTTTAATTTAGATAAAAATACTTAACGTTATACATGAAAATGTTATCAGGAAAAATGTTTTAAAAACGGTAGCAATAAAAAAATAGAATCTTACAAAATGTTTAAATCCCCTTCGTAAATATTATCTCGATAATTTATTTATGATATTAGATAATTACAACAATCATTAAATGTATATTTAAAATAGCGGATTACTGCAAATCACTTAATCCGTGAATTAACGAATCCAATTAGTAACGACAAAGAAGTATGGACTCTGCCTATCCCTTTAGAACTAGATCATAGGCAACTAGCTGTTGCTTGCGAATTCATCCGCAAGAAATTATCTAGTATTAACTAACTATCATAGTCTATGCTCCTCACATTACCTTTCATCCCCGTTGTTTGAAAGAGAATCCAATACACATAAAAATACAGTTTTTTTTATCTTTATAATATTAACTAGTATAGATTACATCACTATGTATATCTATATAAAAATAGAGCAGCCAAAAACAGGGACAATTGGAAACAAACGGAGGAGGCCTTTACCCGGCAGGGGTCATAACAATAATAAACTTTTTTATGTTACTTGTATAACATATGTTAAAACTATTGTCTCTTTTTTAAACGGATTGTGTTTCTACAGGTTTCAATAGCAATGAAAACTGATGGCAACTTTCTTTAAAACACGCGGAAGATTATTCGTTGCCAGAAAAATGTCAAGGCATTTCTTCGTTCACGTTGAGTTATCGATCTCGATCAGTTTGTCATTGTTTTATGTGGATTCTTCACTAATCGCAATCGATCTTTACTCACCTTCGTCTTTCGATGCACATGACTGACAGATAGACACAAAAATTTGCATGTTCGATTCTAACTTGATAAATCGCATATTCAATCTTGATCATGTTACAAACGTAATTATAAGTACAGGGTACGACCTTCAGATAAATTTTAACTGATTATTAGACTGAAAATTATCGTATTTCAGCCACGTGCATGACAGATATGATCTCTAACTCATGATGGGAGAAGTTGCCGGCAAAAGGAATGTTGGTCTTCGAAAGAAATCCAGATTACGCAACATCCGAGAGTGGACAGGAATTGCTAGTGTTACCCAACTGTTTCGCCTCGCAAGAGATAAATCAAATTTGAAGAACTTACCGGTAACCTTCACTAGTAGAAAGGTACCTTAAAAAGAATCAGACTATAAAGTTAAAACGTATGTGTTTATGAAAAAAAGTGTTTTTTTTTTTTAAGTTATTACAAGTTGGCAAACGAGCAAGTAGCCACCTGAATACGTCAAAGTGGCGACGCGGCCACTGCCCGTAGTCATTTGCAATAGCGAATGCGTTGCCTTTCCTTAATTGACGGAGAAGAAGCATACAAAGAGGACATTTCCCTTTCCTATGCGTCTCCTCCGTCAAATCCAGCTTTCCTTCCCATCCTTCCCGTATAAGAAAAGGATGGAAAGGGAAAGGGATTAAAATTAGGCCTCCGGCACCACACACGCGTGTCTTCTGTGTGGTCGTGGTATTTCACCTGGCGAGTTGACCCATTCGTGCGAAGATGTTAAAGCGGGCTCTACCACTGAGTTAAACTATACAGAAGGTCTATCAGAATAAATTGTGTGACCCGAGACCGCGAATGTAACTATTGGTTACGTTATCTACATGACATTAGTTGTTGCACTTTACAACCGGTAGAGGCGCTGCACTAATCTAATACGTCGTTGACCTTAAAAAAAAAGTCCTCATGAATATTCGTGATAAGGCCTCGTATCTTCCTACACACGTAGGGTTTAATAAAACAATCCGAATGTTCAGTTAAGACTTTAGTTTAAAGTAAAGGTGTATAACTGGCTTTAGAAAACCCTTGTTTGATGTCATTTATAATTACAATTTCATTTAAATTTAGTTACGTCAATTATTTATCGTAAATATACTTATTTTTGTGGTAATTATAAAATAGATTGAGGTGAAATCGTATCCATTATACGTAATGTATTTTAACTAATGCGACATAATGTTGTTTTCCCCTAATATATTTAAAAAAATTACATATTCACACTGTAAGACTAATTCGTCACCACGAATTCTATTCTCGTCTTGTGAAAACCAAAGTTGATTGGTGCCACAAAAAAATAAACCGAAGAATATTTAGTAAGAAAACTAATAAATACGAATATAACCGAGACAAAATGTTTTTTATCGAATTGCTACACCATTGGAAATTAAAAGACCTCTGTAAAACAAATATCTTGAATTAAAACGTGACATGAATTAGTTAATACAAAAAAAACTGTATAATCGATAGATAAATTGCAAATACCGCGCACATCGCGATTTGGTCTTAAATTAAAAATGTTAATGTAATAAAAATAAATAAAATCGACTTTAAATAGAACGGTAACCCCCGGGGTTTTCCAAAGATCTCAATCTTTAATTATACATAGGTATATTTAGAATATAAGACGAAACAAATAATCGAGCATAATCATATAAGATCTTTTTTATAAAATTTTATTATACAAGAATTTTATTCTGTTACCTAAGCTTTTTTATCTCAACCTGTAGATGTCTATAAGTGTAGATACGTTGCCTACACTTAATCCACGGAGGAGGAGACGTCACAAAGAAGATTGCCCTTCTTATGTGTCTCTTCAAACGTAAAATCTACTTCGTTTTTCCATCCTTTCCTTATAAGGAAAGTGTGGAAAGAAAAAGCAAACTTTCACATGGAGAAAGTTGGGAGCAACCGCTAGTTTTGTATATAAATCTAATTTTGTA